GTCTGTGCACTCACTGGTCTGAGCACTCACTGGTCTATGCACTCACTGGTCTGTGCACTCACTGGTCTGAGCTCTCATTAGTCTGAGCACTCATTAGTCTGAGCACTCACTGGTCTGAGCACTCATTAGTCTGAGCACCAGTGGTCTGAGCACTCAGTGGTCTGAGCACGCATTGGTCTGAGCACTCACTAGTCTGAGCACGCATTGGTCTGAGCACTCACTAGTCTGAGCACGCATTGGTCTGAGCACTCATTAGTCTGAGCACGCATTGGTCTGAGCACTCACTGGTCTGAGCACTCATTAGTCTGAGCACTCACTGGTCTGGGCACTCACTGGTCTGAGCACTCATTAGACTGAGCACTCACTGGTCTGAGCACGCATTGGTCTGAGCACTCATTAGTCTGAGCATGCATTGGTCTGAGCACTAACTAGTCTGAGCACTCACTGGTCTGAGCACTCACTAGTCTGAGCACGCATTGGTCTGAGCACTCATTGGTCTGAGCACTCACTAGTCTGAGCACTCACTGGTCTGAGCTCTCATTAGTCTGAGCACTCACTGGTCTGAGCACTCATTATTCTGAGCACTCACTGGTCTGAGCACGCATTGGTCTGAGCACTCATTAGTCTGAGCATGCATTGGTCTGAGCACTAACTAGTCTGAGCACTCACTGGTCTGAGCACTCACTAGTCTGAGCACGCATTGGTCTGAGCACTCATTGGTCTGAGCACTCACTAGTCTGAGCACTCACTGGTCTGAGCAGTCATTGGTCTGAGCACTCATTAGTCTGAGCACGCATTGGTCTGAGTACTCCTTGGTCTGAGCACTCACTGGTCTGAGCACTCACTGGCCTGAACACTCACTAGTCTGAGCACGTATTGGTCACAGTACTCCTTGGTCTGAGCACTCATTTTTTTTGTCTGTGCACTCATTGGTCTGAGCACTCACTGGTCTGAACACTCACTAGTCTGAGCACCCATTGGTCTAAGCACTCATTGGCCTGAACACTCACTAGTCTGAGCACGTATTGGTCTGAACACTCACTAGTCTGAGCACTCATTGGTCTGAGCACTCATCGGTCTGTCCAAGGAGCAAGACCCGCCGTTATTCTTTATTTTGAAAAAGCAAGTACATTGTAAATCGGTGGCGATGGACTCGACCCGACTCCTGCAATTAGCCGTGGAGAGTTGTTTCTTTGAGCACTCTTGAAACCTTCGCCTCTTAACATGATTCTTGGTGTCGCCGTCCGTGTATCTAGCACACTGTTCAGAGCAGCTTTAAACCCAACCCACCCACTCACTCACTCACTCACTCCTTCACTCATGTTTACACGAGATGATGTTCTTTAGTAAAAGATCTTTCCTCTCCTTATACCGCCATTACGAGGATCGCCATACAGCAATCACTTGCAAGATAAAACACGAACTTCAGAGGAAAATATATCCATCCCGTTGTACGGCCAACCCCGAGATAATCTATTAATGTTAGCTTCTCCGGAAACGTCTTGACTCGTGGCGATCATCAGTGCCTTCAGTTATGCAATGTATCACGCACACAGAATCTGCCTTCAATCACTAACCCGAACAATCCAAACACAATTGCTTTCAACAGATCGATAAATCAGCATCAGGAAGGGGGGTAACTGCTACAAATCAATTATTTATTTTCATCAAGTGGCGCGAGAGAAAGTTTGGTTGGCGACCTCCGACCTTTACCGAGAATTGCCGATCGATGGCTCACGTAGGCGGCGCCCACGCACCCAGCTCCACCACTGGTGTCTCAGCACAGTCAAATCCAATGTTCCGGGGAGACGAAAATAGCGCTGTGATCTATTTAAATGTCTCAGATGCGACGGAATAGTTATTGCTCGAGGCACCAAGACTACTCCCTCACAGACTGAGATAAGGGTTAGTGCTGTTGGGAGGCATTGTCATCCATAAACTATACATATATTTTCGTGCAGTCTAACCCCTGTGCGTTCAATGGGTCGTCTATATATGGACCCCAAGGACGGTTTTATACGTCTAAGGTTATTTCTAAGCAGAATCCAAAATGAATTGTTATTATCCTATTAAGAGGCAGACAAATGTCAGGGTACTTGTTTACGTGTTTCTCTGAGATAACGTAGCATTTGTGATGGCCAGATAGACCATTGAAGATATTTGTGGAAGGCTGAGTGACACTATGCAGTGACCTTGGTGTATGAGGGAGGTCGTTTTCATGTAAGAACTAAAATTGGCATCACATGAAAGTCACAACAATTTGCTGACATACAAAATTGTAATCCTGTGGTTATTTATCACAAAGTGTATTTTCAGGAGCACAGAACTCACAACTTCTATCATTTTCTTTTAGGATTAAAATGTCCTGGTATTTCATTTCGCTGAAGATACAACCAAGTGGAATTATAATAATTTGAGGGATGGGGTGTTATTAAAAAGTGTAATAAGAATATGTTCATCTTCTACTTGGAATACGTTTGTTTATATAATCCCTATAATTTCCTTTACAGTAAGAGCTGTCCATCGGTTATAACATGTCTTATCATCCAAACTTGACTTCCACAATGTCTACAGGAGATATCAATAGGGACCCGTTCCTGAAAGCGATCGTAGCGCTAAGGTGATCGTAACTCCCATACTTTAACATAGACTTACGACTGTCGTAGCGCTACGATCGCTTTGAGGAACGGGACCCACGGTGAGATGAAGGACATTGCATGACAAGGCTAGTAGCCCACTGAGACGTCATCGGTTATTGTGACGCCACAATCAAATGACATCACTCACAAACATTCAGTTGTGACTTTCCTTTGTCCATGCTGCCCACTGGAAGCTTCCCGTTAACCCTGACCTGTCTTGCGAGACATGTATGACATTACCACAACAATATACAAAATACAACCATTTGCAAACAACTACTACAGTTTTACCAAGGTACCATTAGTTCAGAACTATAAAATTCTCTCTACAGCAATGATGCTCAACCTGTCTGAATGTTGCTATATCAGCTAACATTCGAGCCTTATCACAGCGTCTTTCAAATAATGAGTCTTGACCAAAAAAAACAAAAAAAACCATCAGTGACTTATATCAAGAGCAACGTCGGGGTACGACGTCACTCCGTAAACCAGTTCAGTTAACTCCTGCTACAAGAATACCGTGCATGGGGGCAAGTTCATCATGAGATCCATGAGGGTTTCAACCTGAACACATTCAGACTTACACAGACATGACCAGAATCCTTGCTGGGGTAGATAATACGGTTTCAAAATGATACACCATGGACCGGAATATATCAAGAAACATTTACTGGAGTGAAGAAGGTTTTGTTCATCACGGTAACAGTGCGAGCGCTGTAGGCCCAGTCATCTAATGCGGCACAAGAGCGAGTGTTGCGCGCAGTTCTAGTCTCCTGGACTCACCCAGTAGGAAGAGCATACGTCCGGACCCCTGTTGGCACCATGTCCATGTGGCTTCCGAATACGTTCGAGACAACCTCGATTTGTCACACCCAGTTCGACAGATCCGCGCTCAAATGATGACTAATATGGAAGGATTATGCAAGGACCGGATGGTGAATTCGAAACAACCAGAACTCGACACGTCCACGTTCGACTTAACAGTGGTCGAATGTACCCTGTAATTGGACGTTAAACCCAGCTCGCAACGCCAGTGTGGAAACCGGTGGTGACATATTTGCACCAGTGTGTGAAGACAGAAAAACACAGCCCTGGGTTGCAATATGTCACTCACCACACATGTGAGCAGCATTGGTGACATATTTGTACTTGTGTAATTTAAAAAATCATGAACATTTGCTTCAAACACTATGTTACCACACCATGATGGAGATTAATACTGCATACAATAAATATTCCTCTCAGTGGCTGGTCATCCACTCACAAATAAACCTTATTTGGGTAACTGCAATACTGCCTATAGCTTCCTCGTGTGAGTGAGTGTATACATGTGCCATTATCTTTCACGCTACACCAGATGCAAATCAATGAAAGAGCAATCAGCCCGTTTGTCGTGTTTGCAACACCGTTTTCCTGCAGACAATATGGAAGATTTCTGGTCAGTTTGAATGTATGTGTGATGAACACCATACGCGAACATGACTGCGGATGTCTTATTTGCGAAATTTAATATGTTTATTTTGGCTAATTATTCTTCTTCTAGTCATTAATCAATATTGACCACGCTCGCTTCGGACATTATGTAGTACAAGAGGGCATATCAGAACGGTTCCAGTCGCCCATTGTGTCTACGTGAAAGTCTGTTGTCATCCTTAGCGATGTTCCGTCATTAATATCTTCGCAATGTGCGGATGTGTAACCAGCGAATTTGTGTTACATTTGTCTATCTGCTCCACGACGTGTATTAGGCGTATTTCTGATTTAAAACGCTCCAGCAGACAAAAACACCTGTAATTAAGTCTATTTTTGGTCATAATGGGCATGTTGTCTTCAGTATGCCTTGATTCTCCAGTGGTTATCAGATTACTATTTATAGATCCTTTGAAGCCATTTTCAAACGGAAATACAAAAATCTATCTTTTTATAGATGCCCCGAGTCTCGAAACTAATCTGAAGGAATCCGTGGGCCGAGTTAATGAATAGGTACTTCGTAAACAGCCTGCTTCTCCAGAGATCTATCCTCAAAACAAATCCAACATTACTGGGTAAAACCCATCGATTGGGCGTCCATCGTGACGTCATTGTGACGTTGAATGCAGCCATAGCAACAAGATTGCTAGCCCACGCAACATGACCATGTAAGGAAGATATCTCATCAAAGACTTTGCGATAATGTCCGTTCATTCTAGAACGTACAGACTGTTACAACGCTGATGAAAACATTGAGATCAATATTTCGGCTTCACTGACGCAAATTGGGTTCGGTGGGAGACCTACGTTGCTGGTTGGTTGTGGAAACGAATGAATGAACCGAGCCCGCTAGCGACCTCTACCGCCCATTACTCAAGACGGCTGCTTTTACGTCGAGGCCACACATACGCACGCTAGTCTTACAGGCATTGACGTTTTATGCAGAGTTGACGGCAAATGGTCAGTCCTGTGTGGTCGTATTCTTCAAGCTGCCTGAGGGGACATAACAGCCTAGCGACATCGTCACGGACATTTAGTTGATTACAGACAGGTATATATGTCTTACTCATTTGTATTAATAGCGTCGACATTGCCCGACGGGTTATACAGCCAGTGCCTCTTGTACAGTCACTGACCTTGGCTTTGGAGGCCGAACGTCTTAAGAGGTGCGTTTTCATGTTTAGAACTGACACTTATTAACTTTTATAGTGTTGTACATAGGTTTATTGCATTTGATCATTTCATATTTTAATGCAGTTAGCATTGTTTTTGTTCAATAGGGTGCTCTTGGAACGTTTACGGGCATAATTGAACTTTTAAAAGGCAAAATGGCTTTAGAATATTGTGAAAGCAATATTTAAAGTTCGCATCAATGTCCGGTGAGCATGTGTTTACTCCTGTTTCCTGTCATATGCGTGTATTAATGTACTGCATGTATACACATGGTACGCTCAACTTGAAGATTATGCGGCATTGTTGCCCCAGCATGTGACAATACAGAGGCATCAAGTGATGCACCACTTCCCCTCAGTAATGTGCATAAATACTTCTTGCTTCGTGGCGTCTCAATGGTTGTCATATTTCAACTCGTAAATATTTCCAAAAGTTTTAAAATCTGAATTACATCTACGGTTAAGACCTCTCGGGCCAGTAAATGATGCAAATAAGTACTGTTAATGAATGATAATGCATGTATATTCTGATTCATTGAAACAATAGTATTATGTGACGATAATATAATACTAATTCATTATAATACTGTTAGTATCTATAATACTAGTAGTATTATAATGAATCAGTATTTAATTATACAGTACAATACTAGTATCGTAATGCTGTTGTACAAAATTCTGTGAAATACAGTTATTGTAACACTGCAATACTGTCTTACACAAATGCAGTAGAATAATATTATCGTAATTCTGTAATAATATATTATACATATGCAATGGATTCCTGTTATTGCAATATCGCCCTTTTAGAAATACTGCAGAATACTATGTGTATCTACAAATACAGTGGAATACTAGTATTGTAATACTGCCATATGGTACCATTTTGGTGTAATACTGCAAATATTGCTGGCTCGTGATTTTGGCAGGTGAAACAGATCCTTGAACAGTTAAGCATATTGAGCTCTCTAAGAGGTATTAACCAACAAACGGCTGATCATTCCAGCTCAAGGTAATCACTTCACCTTCTGGACGGTGGGGTGGCCTAGTGGTTAAGCGTTCGCTCGTCACCCGAAGACCCGGGTTCGATTCCCCACATGGGTACAATGTGTGAAGCCCATTTCATGATATTGCTGAAATGTTGCTAAAAGTGGCGTAAAACTAAACTCACTCACTTCACCTTCGGTAACACTTCGTCTACGATAACAGTAATGCGCATATAGCTTGAACCTATTGTTCACAGTGTCATGTCCGTAAACGCCTTATCTATAACTCAGTTCAGGTTATCAAATAACATTATACAGACAAAAAGGAGGCTTTGCTAACAAGGCCTGGTTACTATACATAGATTGCTGGAACCATTGCTTTAATTCTACAGGTTCTCGTCTATTGATGTGCCATCGTTACTTTTTAACCATGAATTACAATAGTTTACGACACTTTGAGCAATGTTCAGTTATAACATGAACACATGGTCATGTCATCGGTTCCCAATTGCGTAGATCGATGCTCATGCTGTTGATCACTGGATTGTCTGGTCCAGACTCGATCATTTACAGACCGCCGCCATATAGCTGGAATATTGCTGAGTGCGGCGTAAAACTATACTCACTCACTCACTGATCGGGCTATCCCAACGCCCCGTAACCTCGCCGAACTCGTCCCCTTGCCCGGCCGTGTACGATAGAAGCATCTTTTCATGATTTCAGGCATAGCTGCCGTTTGTACACCGAGTACGCTCACCATAAATACGACGATCACGTGACACCACTAAATGCTTGTAAAATCGATTCTCATCCAATTATGGCCAATCGATCTGCATTTCTACCGTACTATAAGCCAGGCAGGGACAAGGCCAAGCTCACAAAGGGACATTGGCTAGTAGGGAGGTAGCATTGTGACACGCCAATCAATATCTTGCAGTTGCAGTACTTGATGCGTCTGTTAAACAGTCCCTTGTTATGTACTACTGCTGTGTCTCCGGGTTTGTTATAGCCGTTACTGTAGGGGATTATTACCACTACAAATAATACATATACGTGTAAAGTTACGTTCATTAATATAACAAATCTTTGAAGGGCGTTTCAACGTGGAATGCATAAGAAAAGAAGAAAAGCAAGATTTATGGATGTCAACTTCTTTATTGTGCATAGCACGACGTTTCGAAGTGTATGCTTGCTCCGTCGTGTTATTCACAATAAAGAAGTTCACATCCATAAATTTTGCTTTTCTTATTAATAAATTATAACAGATTTTGTCATTTCATTTTGGTGATAGGAAAACACAGTTGTACTCATCGACAGATGCAACTATACATGCAGCAGACGCCATAATTGTGGCAGGTTTGTTGTTTTACGCCGCAACTAGCTCTCTGTCTGTTCATGACGGCGGTGCTGTGTTGTGAACGCCGGGATGTGACGGGAACACTGTTCCTAGCGGCCTTTTAACGCTCACTGTAAATAGTCTTGTATGGGTCTGTATTTTCCATCCATCATGGAAATCTACTGGATAATACACGTACTGTCCCTTTACATCCATGTGCATCATATAGACACAACCCGTGAACATCCGGGATAGAATTGATCTTGAGTAACCCATGCTTGTCATAAGAGGCGACCAACGGGATCGGGTGGTCAGGCTCGCTGACACATGTCATCGGTTCCCAAATGCGTAGATCGATGGTCATGATGTTTGTCACTGGATTGTCTGGTCCATACACGATTATTTACAGGCCGCCGCCATATAGCTGGAATACTGCGGAGTGCGGTGTAAAACTAAACTCACTCACTGACATCATCACAACAGGAGCAGATCGTACAAGACGTATTTTAGTACACTCGAGTATTGGTCGGTATTCCAGAGAAAACTTTATGCGTATGTGTTTCAAAACCGCTTTCTTCTGATAACGTCACAAAACGGCATTGTTATTCGTGACTGTCTTATGTAGTTTTATAACCAATAACCAAAGTTTGCGGATCTGCGTATTTCTGTTTCAGGGAGTCCTTTGTAACCAAATAAAGTAATACACATGCTACTTGAATCGGTCGTCGAAGTGACAATATACGGTATCAAAATTTCATACTAAATGTTATAACTGCCATCTTGTATTGGAACTGTACACTATAACTCAGTCTTTCCGGACATTGCCCCGTGATCCAAGTTGTCGTAAATAGGATGCGTTGCTGCCTGTTTCCTTCAAAGGAACATAATATTATACAGGCGATAATTTATTACACCTAGTGGCTTATAGATTAAGTAACATTTAGCAACCCTTAACGTGAGGAGCGAGGCAGTAGCCACGCCTGGTTGGGCGCAGCACGCCTTGCATGATCCGCTCCCGCGCTGAGTGTTGGTTTAGCTTTGAGTAGACTGTTGACCAAACCACTCATCCGTAGAATTGCTTAAAGACTACACTAAAGGCTGTGTATAGTCAAGGCGTGTGACGTCAGGTCTATCATAATAACGCCCTCGGCGATATCTTTCTATCACTGATTATCCATTGATTAGAACCACAAGTGCTCAGGCAAGTATCTATATAGGTTGTTAATCGGTGTATGAGGCTTGACTGTCTGTACGTAAACATCTTCCAAGTTAAGTATTCCTAGTCTTTACGGTCATCCCTATTAAAACCCCGGTTGTATCGGGCAATATAATCAACTGATCTAATTGAGTCAGCGGATGACAAATTGGGGAATTACAGTATTATTTAATAACATATACACACGCCCATTGCAATGAAGTAAGCCCAGATCTGCTTCACTTCGGACGTTTCCACCTCATCAGACTGACACGCAGTGACGAAGCTGAAATGAAACGTTGAGTAAAAACCCCGACTCACTCACTCACGCTTCTTCCGTCAGTAATGCTAGAGATTGGTTCGTGGGGCGTCACTGACATTGGAAGTGTTTCCGTCTGGTGTTTTCCACTATGTGATGTCTTTGACAAGCAAGACGCAGAATGACCCTCCAACTTTAGTGGTCGACGCTCAGTCCTCACTCTCCGCAGATTGGCCGGTGTAGACTGGCCTCACGGTAGTGGTCAACACACTTGACATGGACGATTGCATGTAAAGCCCTTCATGTACAATGATGGATGTCGTAGGCGCGGATGTATGTCCGGCAGAACGTATGACGGTGTTCAGGTAGCAGGACCATGCAGTCAATACACGGTAGTGATAGAGAACAGTCATTAGATGATTGTTCCTTGACAGCGTCTGAACTACATAATCATGAAATTCATCATCGTTGTCGTGACTAATACTAGTAGTAGTAGTACAGTAATAGTAGAAGCAATAGTAGTAGTAGTAGCAGGAGTAGTAGTAGTAGCAGGAGTAGTAGTGGTAGTAGCAGAAACAATATCAATAGCAGTAGGAGTGGTAGTAGTAGTGGCGTCAGCTGTCGGGAGTGAGTGTGGGTGATTGCGTGAGTTTAGTTTTACGCCGCTTTTAGCAATATTCCAGCAATGTTCCAGCAATATCACAACAGGGGACACCAGAAATGGGCTTCACACGTTGTACCCATGGCAACTGTCTGGACGTGGTGGTAGTCGTAATAGTAGTAGCAGCAGCAGCAGTAGTAGCAGTGTAGTAGTAGCAGCAGTTTAGTAGTAGCAGCAGCATTAGTCAGAAGATACATATGGGAAAAAACATCACATTCATCAGCATCATCGTAGTCGTCATGTTAAAGCGGCCATCGTACATCTATATGTGCAACAACAATCTCTGGACCGTATTGTATACGGTCAACCAACAGAAAAGACGTATTGAGTACGTCATAACCCAAATAAACATCTATATCAACATTCATCAATACTTAATTGATTCTCGCTCAACTCGTTCCATGTAACAGATTGTGTTTACGTATGCTTAACGTAACGTACGTATAGACAACCGTGGGTTGTGGGTGGAATCCTGTCACCCAAATGAGATCAGTCAGGCAATAAGTGTATGTGTAACATATGTTATATTTGGGATTACACTCTCTCAGTGTATGTGTATATGTGTAATTAAACCCCTACCAAGTACGGTGAGAAAAGGTAGTCTTTCGGTTTGTACTGTGGTGGTTCGTATAATACTTAACCATCAAGCCAATAAATAACATAACAACACAAGCACTAGCTACGATAAATAAGGGTACTGTAAATACAGCCAAGTTGGGAATATAATAACTCGTGTTGGGTTGGGTTGGGCGTGTCAGACATGACAGGATACACTTTTTCTGGTTTTCCATCCCGACACTGATATACACATTTGGACTATATGAACTGTATTTATGCCTTTTGTTAAGGTATCGCATAATCTGTGAAAACCCTCGTGATTGCTGAAACCTTAACTTTGGGTTCCGTGTTTTGCGCAACACGGAAGACAATAACTAACTGAATCAATCTGATGGCTAATTATGTACAATTACCACTGGGTTTCCTTATCAACATTTATCTATATTTCTGGAAACTCTCTTTCTCGTCTTCCGTATTCAAAGTATATAACCACGGATACAAAAAAGGACAATATTTTAGCATATTTTGCCTCGTACAAGTCAGGGTTTGGGGCTTCTATCTCCAAACTGATACCAATGTAAGTATATACTGGCACACAATATTGGTTGTTGATCATTACATGTTGATTGGGATAGACTGATTAAGATGGTTTAATGATTAACGCATTGAGCTTAACCAAGCTACTGATATAAAGTGATGTACTTATTTGAAAACACATTCTGGAACCAACTGAATATATTCATATATTAAATTAACCGAAAAACTCAATTGAAACGAGAAGGTCCGTTCCATATTTTGGACGCAGTAGTCTCCCTTATGTCGCTACCTAACAGCTGTCAACCGGTTACTTTAATTTGAAAGATGTCGCAAGAAATATTAAATATACTATCATAACAACCTAGAAATGTACATCAAAACTAAACACTGTGTTTGTGATAAGTAAACGCATACGCTTCGTTTGACATTTCAACACCACGAGCAACCGATTGGGATCTAAAAATAACTATATCATCTGTGAGCCTTCTTCACTACGCTGTGTCTGCGGAGGAAAAGTAGTTCTATGAAAATAACTAATGTTTGTCGTTAGAAATAACTTTCGCTATATTGAATCATACATGTAACATTTAACGCATGAATTGATATTAAAATACGTTTACAAAATAAGAAATCATATGAGCATTTTTAAAACAGCTGGAATTAGGCGTATGATTATGGTATGTGAATAGTCCTTCGGTGGTAGTACGTAACAGCCGCTAATGTGCCTAGACTGCAGTTTGACGTCTGCCGCTGTGTGAGGGTGTGTGTATACGAGCGGCTGTCAGTGAGTAGGATTGTCATATTCAAACTGTCTCTTCTTCTTGCAGAAATACCACACTACTAACGAACTGACAAGACCTGGTATGGCAAACATGTGTTCCAATCGCTTCCAAGTTTTGTGTCATGAACAAGTTATTCGACTTCATGAGGTTATGGAAGACGTGGTTCCTATTCACGGTCGCGGAAATTTCCCTACTCTGGAGTTGAAATTGAAAGACTTGGTAGTAATTGTCCGTGATAAATTGAAAAGTGAAGGGGTTGTAATACGTGACATACGTTTGAATGGTGGTGCTGCCAGTTACATCCTTGGAACGGATGAGATTCAATCGTACAACGACTTGGATCTGATTTTCGGAGTGGACCTGTCAAACCACAACGAGTTGCAGAAAATCAAGAACTGTGTGCTTGGCTGCCTGCTGGATTTCCTTCCAGATGGTGTAAGTAAAGAAAAAATGAGTAGCTGCAGCTTAAAGGAAGCTTATGTGCAGAAGATGGTGAAAGTGTGTAATGAACACGGGGACCGGTGGAGTTTAATTTCGCTGTCAAACAACAAGGGGAAAAACGTGGAACTCAAATTCGTGGATAAGATGAAACGTCAGTTCGAGTTCAGCGTTGATTCTTTTCAGATCATTCTGGAGAGCTTGTTGACCTTCTATGATGTCTCTGCGACACCAATGAGTGAGCACTTCTACCCAACTGTTGTGGCAGAAAGTCTGTATGGAGATTTCTGTGAGGCATGGTTTCACTTGACAAAGAAGCAAATAGCTACCCGAAACCCAGAGGAAATTCGTGGTGGTGGTTTGTTGAAATACTGCAATTTGTTAGTGCGGGGATTCAACCCTGCAGAGGATGTGGATATAAGGACCATGGAAAGGTACATGTGCTCAAGATTCTTCATTGATTTCAGTGATATTAACCAGCAGAGACAAAAGCTTGAAGCTTACCTTACAAATCATTTCAGTGAGGATGAAGAATACAAGTATGAATATCTGATGACATTGTATCGTGTTGTGGATGAAAGTACCATCTGTCTTATGGGTCATGAAAGGAGACAGACACTCAATCTGATCCATCAACTTGCCTGTCAAGTTTATGTGGAACAAGAACAGAAAAGTTCGCAGAAATGTATTGAACTCCAACAGTTGGACCAGCTGAACAATCTTGTGATCGATCAGGTGTTCTATGGCCCATTCAGTGCACCTACCACAAGTCCAGGCAGCCAGTATTACAACTACACCTACTCTCCTTCATCTGCCTACCAGATTGGGACCAATACATGTCCCTACTGTCCCCCTTATCTGCAGTGTTCATAGTCAGAACACATCATGATCTCGGCTTCAAATGGTGAGAGGCTACCATCCTTTTTGACAATATTCCAATTTTCTGTGATCATATTTTTCCAGTTCATTTCAGGGCAATATGCATTGGTTGGGGGTTACTTATTTTGTTCCAACATTTGCTCCGTGTGAATGGATATATCTTTCTTTCAATTGGATGAAACTGTGTCATTTTCTTTCATATCAGTGGCAGCGTTTGAAGCATCATGTCTTCATACTTTGGACCCAGGATGTGATAATAAAAGTGGCTTGAGTTATGAACTGGGAAATAGACCAGCATTAGCCTTACACGAGGAACATATTTTTGCAACAGACTAGATGTGTGCAAGTGGACTGAAAGTTCTCTTATTGTTCCATGTACAAAATCATTTGTTCTCAAATCAGAATATCTATTCTATAAATATGTTATTACTTTGTTGCTTTATCTAGCCTAGTCCTCTTCAGAGTGCACTCTATTTTTTTAAACAAGTGCTCAATATTTGAGATCAAAACTAGATACATCTCATATTTTGTATCAATGTGAATTTAGACTATTAACTTGCAGCCTACAGGTTATTTAGTCATAATACAGTGTATATAATACGTTAATCAAAAAAATCTGTGATGCTTATGTCTTACTTCGACATAATTGTTAGTGCTCCCTTCATTCTGTAACTGAACAATATTTAACCTGCAAAGCAACATGAAGTAAAAGACCAACACATGTAACAGGGCTTTGCTTGTTAGCTGACAACTGAACTGAATATTTTCATGTTGTTCCATTGCCAAACTTGGTCAATTCTGTGAGAAGTGAAAATGTCTGACTGTTATCCTCTAGTCTTTCATACATTTTTTTCTCTGATAGTTTATATGGCCCAGCGATGTTGTCATTGATTTGTTATCAGATTATATCTGTTACAAAGGATCACTAATGTAAGGGAGTGATTGTTTGATAAATGTTTGTTGCAGACTATTAAGACAATATTTTCTTTACTGTCTCACAAGACCAGTTGTATAAAAGATGAAATGTCACTGAATCTCAACACTATACCTCAGCAAAGTCATTTAGTAGACCTTTCCTGTGGAGAAATACTAAAGAATATACTTCAGTCTGTTTTTTGAAGAAATGCAATACTGTTGAATTAAGAAATTTGAAATTGTTAGTTTGTTTACCCTTTCAGTTTTGATGTTGTGACAAAATGGTGATTGCAATAACAGTTTGTTGAAATTTATAGTTCACAAGTTGTAATTTGTTTGCAGTTCAGTATATCAACAAGTACAATTCAAGTGTCTGAACCCAGGAAATGACTTTGGTGCAAAGGTTCGGACTAACAATGCTACAGAAGTTGATAATTAGGAGTTGTGACCCACTTAGAATGCTCCAGTCTAAACTTAAAGTAATTATTGTTATGTTCTTGTGAGAAAAAATCCTTTGAAAAATGTATAGTGATGATATTTGTGATAAGTCATCTTATGCACTATAGTATTTTTCATATTTTAAGCAGGGAGTTAATTGTCTCTTTCAACAGGGCTCGATTTAAGCAACTTGATCTAACTTGCACTGCATACATGTTGACATGAAAACCTACCTATGGTCCTTGGTCACATAAATGTAACCAAATGGATGAATTCTCAAATTACTGACATGATTTTCAGGCAGACAGTGCTTACTGTAAAAAGACTTGCATGATAGCTGTCATTTAGTGCATAATTATTATTATTAGGTGGATAATTTAAATTCTGAAACATGAAACAGATGTCAACATCAGTTAGAGATGCAGCTACAGTTAGGTACAGTACATAATCTTGAAGTACCCGCAGTTTTAGGATGTCAGGCCCAAGAAAGCATGATAAATTACATGGAACACCAGGATTAGTAATGTTGTGTGCCTCGAGGTATTGAGTACGTTCAAAGATTGATGTTGTATTGACAATTAAGGTTTAGTCAGGGTAAAAAAATTGAAATTCGTTTACATTAATGTGATTAATACTAGGTTGCTTTTATAATATCAGGTTGTACTTGTGCATGTTATAAATTGGTAAATCGAACCCTGTTTGAACCAGTAATAGGGTAATATCATTTGTTAATAGTGAGCATATTGAAAAAGGATGTTTGTCAAATTATCTTACATGCAGTGTTATGTTAAGAATCTATTACGATTAATTATGTATGTGAAAAGCATTTCTTGGTTTCATCATATGATTATTTTGTATATTAATATTAAATAAGGTTATGGCAACCAGTGTTCGAAGATAAGCTTGTAAGTCTAAGGGTCCTTTTCAAAACCATAGTGTTAAACGATAAAGGTTTAGGGGATCCACAGGTTCGAATACCATTGGAAAAGACGTCAAGGAATCAAGGATTTTTATGTTTTGAGTTCTTGCTAAAACTATTGACTGGAAGACAAATTGAAAGCTTAGACTAGTTCACATCAGCATTTGGTAGACAAACCTTGACAAGATTAACTTTCTACGGATTTGTACTCTTGGCTAAAGATAAATCATAAGCTGATAAGTTCCTTATATTGATTATTTAGTGGGCCCTAGTAAATAGTTTCTTAATGTAAATGATAAAGTAAAAGGTAGGTTAACAGTAGTAGCATGTCACTCCAGATCGCAACTAGGTCATGCAGCCTACATCTGCTGAGTACATATTTAGGTACGCATGCTCTCGGCATACACTCATATGTCAGGAGTTCAGTGCTTAGTGTTATCTTCCTTCTGTCATTCATTACCGTAGCCAACTTTTTCTCTTGAATTATGTTAGTGTCCTGCAGATTTTTTTACAAACAGGCTCTGAACTCTATTAGGAACCTTTCAGTACTAATGAAATAACGTTCAGTAAGGGCTGATCCACCAAAGTTGTTTTTCCTAACCATATTGCTACATACTGAAAAGTTCTTGGCTTTAAGAATATTAATTAGTGTTTCAGATTTAACAGGCCCCAGATATTTAGTTTTCTTGTGTAAAATTAAGGTAAATAACAATAAACCTATACAGTCAAACGCACCTGTTCTTCACCATTCTTTACTGTGGTTACCTATGTGCTTGTGCTGACATGACTATACCACACACAAGTTGTGAGTCTGCTATGCTCCTCGCTTGTAAGTCCTTGTGTACACTATGTACACAGTTGGGAAATTGATCCTGTTAATGGTTGACCTACATTTGCATAAACCGAGGGATTCGCCTCTCAAATGTGTTGAGTCTGTAAGTAGACCAAGGGCTGATTTACTCTTTGGAAACACTAATAATTAAAATTGGTTTTGAAAAGAAGTATAAGTTGCTATATATTTTAATCCCTTAAGAAGGAGCTGGCTACTTACTGTTTAATACAGGTGGTATATATATATTTGAGTCCTTTTGAACATATCTTCAGGTGAAACACTTGTATGGAAAGATGTGATTGAAAAGAACCCATGAATTCCCCAATGTTGTTTTGGTTTTTTAAAGAACATTTAGATATGAAATGTATAAATTAAAAACCAAAATAGAAAATATTGTTTTGTTTTCAAGATGGTACTTGAAAAGAATGAATTTACAGTTTGCACCTACATTTTGTAAACCTCTGTATAGTAAAATTTCTTTCAGTCTAGTCAGCTTTATATATGATGGCCTGTAACAGAATCTATGACAGTTATGCCAAAGGACAAGTTCACCATGTTCAGACAACTAGACTAAAATGGTTCTGTAGTAGTACTAGCACTAAAATTGTGATTTACCCTTCAGAGTAACTGTAAGGGTAATATCTCCAAGTCATATTGGAAATGATTTCTATCGGTTCATTATGTACCACTAAGCTATATAATCCTGGGTTTGACAACACTGTTTGGTTCCTACCCTTTTTTCTCTTTATTGCTGGGCATGCTTATCATATGTTACAAGTTTTCATTGTTTGGCATATACAAAGACCATGACATGAAATGTGATGCACAGCATGAACAGATCTGAATGTTGCCTGTTCCATGGCTTAATGTTTCACTATCATTGTAATGAAATTGCCATAACTGTACTTCGCACAAGTCTTTTAGACACAAGACAAGCCAACTAGCCATGTAATGAGATGATAATTTGTCATTTATTGGTTATGTTACACATGTAGAGTGAACATGTAATTGCTTGACATGGAAGTTTATCTGTGTGATGGTAATACATAAATGTTTTCAGTATAAGGGAATTAGTTAGTGGGATAATAAGTATATGTTTGAAGAAGTGTGTTAGGACATTTGGACTAAGGCCACATTCAAAGAAATTTTTCGTCTCATAGCTGGTCAATGAACTAATTAGAAATGTGATTGGAATTTATTTTGTGTTTCATTACCATGATTACCCATTATGTTTTGTTATTCAGTGTATAGGAAATGAGTTCATTTGTAATGTACATGACAAACACCAAATCTTTTAATAGGTACTTTGACATTTTTTTGAATGAGGTTTTGTTTATTTTCTTCACGATGATTCCCCCTACAAATGAATGAGGTAAATTTTCATTTTGTGCCCAAATTTCTTCTGCCTTCTGACAATATTACCAGTTTCTTTTGCTGTGTAATTATTCTGGGTTAATGTTGCAAATTGTTTTTGTATTTATAAGAATCAGTTGTCGTTCTGACATTGATTCTACACTGACCATGTGACAGATCAATTGTATAAATGGTAGAAAAGCATGAAAAGTAATCATATGACGGTCATTTCATTACTTGAAGGGGACCCAGTTTATTCTTTTGAATTATTCATTTGTCATTTCATTAATGTTGCAAATGAAATATATTTTTGTGATCAAAAGAGCTTATGCCAAAGTATTTTGTCTTGGCAGTGAACGTTAAATGCAGCGGCTATAACTGGTGCAGGCGTGCACCTACAACATAAACTGTCAGTTGTCTGCAGTGATAAGCAAGGTGCAGTTTCATTGTTTATTCTATTGTGTCATACCTACAGTTGAAATATATTACTCTGTATATTTCAAAGAAATTCCAGAATAAAATATTTTGATCCAAATATTTTGTATTTTTTGTCTTTATTATTAAGGTAGACTATAACAATACACTTACCTTGTATTACAATGTTTGCATGATAATAACATAAGACTGTGAAAATGTTATGTTCAGGAGCCAGTATTGATAATCAAGCAGCTATCCCTCAGTAGAACTCATAATATCATAAGGGAATTGAAAGATCAGGCTCTGTGACATGGATGGTATTGAGTCATCACTTCCTGACAGCAGGATCACTGCTCATGCTTTCAGTCTCTAGTTTGCCTGGTCCCAGTATGTACAGGATGCTGTGATACAGAAGGAGTTCTGCTGACATGCAGTATGTGGTAATAAACGTTCACTCACTCGTACAGGAATGGATGTTTGGTTATCATAACTAGATCACACTTAGATATATGTAATTGCTGCAGATTGTAAGTGAAATAATTCAGTAACAATCAAATGCATTAGTCAGCAAATACTGGTAATATCAGTGTATAAAATATAGCCGTTCCACTGTCCTTGACAGTCTATTGTATAGTACAGTCTATTAAATAAGTAAGGCCGTCCTTTGGTCGGGGGAAATATTTGAAAAAATAAACTTAACTTGGTTTGAATGAAGAGTTTTAGTTTTTGGGACTGGCTGTGTTTGTTCAGGACTGGTCAGCCAGTTCTTCGACAGGCCATATTTCAAAACTATTTTATACACTGATAATATCAATAATATCAAATGCATTGTGACTCGTTTTATTGTGAAATATGGGTACTACACTGCATAACTACACTCATACACTTTATGTATGATATGAAATTGACTTCCAAAGGAAATACAGTTTGGATGAGATATCCCCCAGGAGATATCACAACAGTGAAATTACATTGCCATGCTCAGCAGAAAAGTTTGATATCAGGCTACCAGGATATCAGAATCACTTCATTAATCTTTCTGTGATTGATGCTAGGTGCTGTACTTGCTTACACACATCACACTAAATACATGACACTTCATGGATAGTAACTTCTTTTAGTCTTATGTCTCGCTCTCCTTCTTCAGGTGAATGTTGAACAAGTGCACAGTTATATATACTACCCATCAAAAGTTTAGACTCACTTAAAACACTCACTATATGCTATGTATATATATGTGGTTACATCGAAGATGAATTTCTCCACTAACTGCACCAACTGCAAACCTTATGCAGATGAATTGCATGAGGATCATGCAACAACTTGCTGAAAAGCATGTGCAAATATCGTGCATGTGAACAGCTGCATTTTGGTGTAAAATTTTGTTAAGAATTGCCAATTTTCACTGAGTTTCATCATTTATTGAACTCATGACAATAAACTTTTCAACGTTACAAATTTGTTTTACAATACATCAGTTCATGTGTAAACAGTACCCTTAAATTGTATAGAATATTTTGCATAATCTAGTTAAGATCAGTTGACTGAAGTAAGTGGCTACATTTACACTAGTGAGTCTAAACTTTTGATGGGGAGTATGTATGGGTGGGATGAGTGTACAGAGATAAGAATATAATGACAAAGCCTGTGAGATAGGATTAATGTTCAGTACTAAAGGTGTAATGATAAGGAGTTGGCTATTGTGACACAATCAATAAGGCAGCTAATAAGGCAGCCTACAAGTGCTTATCAAAGACTTTACACAACACACTTTTTGTAGTTATTAGTGGTAAAAATCAGAAAATTTTGATTTTTTGGATGTTGAAAAGAATCTCATCTATACGCTTTTGACATATTATCAGTCAACCTTCTTGCCTTTCACTGATACATAATGATGTATATGTCAACAGACATTCAGGAGCTGAATACATACATGTTGTTCATACAGAACAAGTAACATCTGTTCATATCATGAGAATATCTTTTCTCTCCCACCTATTGGCTGACGGTCATCACCTGCTAAGTGGACGGGCACAGGAAGAGGAGAAATTTCAGAGGTTTTCACATCTTATAGGGAATAAAGTGCAAACACTAAATTCAACTCTAGGCCGAGCCAATGAGATTTCACATTTTACATTATAGTCCACTTTACATTGGTGTATTTTATTTTGCTTTTATTTCAAGACATACATGAATTCAATTAAACATTAACACATTACATCATGTATTTAGTAATCACGACTGGAGTTGAAATCTCATTTGATAATGAACTATATATCATTATCATTATTCATACCTTCTACACAAAATGAAAAAAAACACAAGTTCAAACAAGCAAACTCTGAAGTGTTTGTACACACTGCCTCAGTTATGCGCTACTGGTGTGATAAGGTAAGTAAACGATCACGTAATAGGATACAACCTCACTTCAATTTGGTTTTTACGATACAAGGGGTAGTCTTTCAACCGCTCTATATAGTTTGTTCACTTTATATTAAATTTCAATTTAATTATCTCTAACTATGAAAGAAGTAAATATGTAATAGGCCAAGCCTTAGCACAGAAAACATTACTTTAGTAACATTTTACTTCATGTCGTTGAATATAGATGGTATGTAGATCAAATATACTACTTTTTATATATGCTTCATTTGATATTTAATCTGTTAAAATAGAAAACTGAGATGTCAAAAAAACAAGAATTTAATATTTATAATATTGCCCAACTACCGGTATGTCTGAAAACCATGGAAGACAATTTCTAAGTAAGCTCAAGTCGGTTCTTAAATCAAAGCTCTCACCAACTCCTCATAGACTTTAAACTCTGTTCCTTGTGAAGTAATTATATATACTATGATATATACGGTATGTTTTATTTTAATAGTTTCTACCAGAGACATGACGTTACTGATTAAAAATATAGACTATGTAGTCTGTTATCTCATAACTAGAGGTGTTTTCCTGGAAACAGTATGTTATTACATGTATTAACTACAGGCTTATATTGGGGGACACAAAAAGAATGTCGTTATGACATTCTGGTAACAGATGTCATCCTTTACCATCAACCTCGCTGGGAGGTGAACATATAGGACGATGCTGCTGTCAGTGCTGTGGTAGTCTGTAGGTATATGTGTGTGTGTTTGTAGACACAGTAGCACACAGCATGGTTGGTGGGTTCATAACACGGATCGTGTTAATTAATATATGTAAAAGATATTAAAACTCTATACAAAGGCAGTCAATGACCATGAAAACATAGTACATGTGTACGTATTTTTCTCTACAATCTGAAGTCTGAAATCTATATCATTAATAAAATCCAATTTCACACACAAATCTGTTGAGATTAATAAAATTACTTATTACATGCTTATATGTTGAAGATGAAATATCACGTTGAAAGTACTCTCCAAGCAACACACTCTACATCCATTTATAGATTGAGTAGACCTCAAACGGCCCACTGTTACCATATGGTATAAGTGGTAGTACACTGATCTATCCTGCTGTGTTTATTAAGGCCTTGTTCAGGCCAGTAGAAAAGCTCATCATGGACTGAAGAGAGTTGTTGAACTCCATACTGTTTAAATGGCTTTGGCAGTAGGTGGGTGCTCTGTTTATGAGATCCCTGTTGGTTTCTGTGTAAACCGCCCACAGGTCTTCACATAAGCTCTGATAGGCAAGTTTCACCATTTTTGCCCTAAGTGATATTTCAGACAGCTAAAGTGATAAAGATTTTGCTTGAAGTTGCCGATAGTTATGGTGAATGATTTATTAAGATTCAGTTTTGATTTAATGTAACCAGTGGGTTTGCAATGTTTGAAATTCTGACAGAAAGTCACCGTGTTACTTTAACCACTCTCAGTGTAAGAACATTGCAGACTTAGAAATCATTACATTAGTTTAAAATAAAAATATTAGATTAAAACACTAAAAACTGAAAATCCTAGGTATGCTCTTCATAAGTGAAATACTTTTTGCCTTTTGGTTTGAACAATTCTAGTGCATCCATCCTTCAAGTTCTACTACAATGAACCCGTGAAGGTCTGGGTTAGAATGAATCATCAGTAACCCATGCTTGTCGTAAGAGGCGACTAAGGGGATCGGGTGGTCAGACTCACTGGCTTGGTTGACACATGTCATAGGTTCCCAATGGCACAGATTGATGTTCATGCTGTTGATCCTGGATTGTCTGGTCCGGACTCGATTATTTACAGACCGCCGCCATATAGCTGGAATATTGCTGAGAGTGGTGTAAAACTATACTCACTCACTAACTCTACTACTACAATGATATATCTGGGAACTGTAAATGAATATGGAGTCTTTACCACAGGGTGATATATGATATTCTTCCTCATTCTCAAATATAAACAAGCCATACCAAGGATACCAAATTAATTAAATATTAATTCTTATCATTGTTCATTGGATACATTCAATTTTGTTTGTTCACATTCTGCTAACAGGTCAAGTTTAGGAAGCTAAGTATCATGTTGTCACATTCTATTAAGACATCAGTCATTGCAGCATGATTCCATGTATGTATGCAGCTGTGAGGGTTCCCTGGGAAGTGAGTGCTTCACAAAAGTGTATTGGACAATGTTCCTGAACATCATGTGGTTTCAGATTAACAAGTGTTGTTATTGAGCATCTCATGCCCAAAAGCATTTGAATCTGAAATAACTTTGTATCACAAACTCAATTATATTGTCAATTTGAAAATACATTGTGTTTTATCTCCTAATGAAGTTGGAAACTTCTGGTATCCTAAACTGACCTGAGTAGATTTGAATATGACTGGCCGACTTGACATTATTTACTATACATTATAGGTAAATTCACTCACTCACTCACTCACTCACTCACTCACTCAGTCACCCAGCTGAAGACGGTAGCAGTGGCGTACAGTTCATGTTATTGAGGTGCTGGCTACCACCAGGTATTATGGCCCTACTGCAGGTGTTACGGCTGAAGACAGTAACAGTAGAGTATAGATAATGGGGTACTGGCTACCATCAGGTATTATGGCCCCTACTGCAGGTGTAACGGCTGAAGACAGTAACAGTAGAGTATAGATAATGGGGTACTGGCTACCATCAGGTATTATGGCCC